AAAAAAAAAAAAAAAAAAAAAGAAGAAGGGATAACGACATTTTACTAAATCTAATGCACTCCGGATTTGGCACCACTTGCAATAGAGTGATCAGAGTCAATCCCAAAATGCGATGTGTTTAACCACCGCACTATTCCATTAACACTTCTTAGAAGTTAATTAAGCTACTGAATTTTAGTTGTGTATAATTATTGACCAAAAATAAGTATGATTTGAACCCGAGTCCAGATAAAGTGTGATGTGTTAACCACTATACTGTCCAACCAGAGGCGGATTCAGGATTTGAGACTTATGAGTTCCTACCGTAATTTCAAATTAATATGCAATAATAACTGGGTTCACAGTTAGGTATTTACAAATATTTAGCGACTTTTTTAATATAAATACAGGGTCTACACAAGAGTTACTGGGTTCCCAAAAACCCGTATTCAATGCTCTAGGTCCGCCCATGTGTCCAACCCAATATGTATTACGTTTTTATAGATATGCAATCCAGTCCAAACTGACAAAGAGAATTAGTGGACCAAATGGGCTTTGTTGCTATTTCCGCTACTAAGAATTAACCCAAATAACCGCTCACCCAACTTCTTAAACTAAACATATCTAGTGGATGTGTAGTATATGTATAATTTGTGTATTATATGTATATAATTATGTATAATCAATATATAAATTATATATATGGCTAAAAAAAGTATACAATGAATATGATCGGCTATTTGTGTAAGGATCACATTTGCTACCGCAGAAGTTAGTGTAGGCCCAAGCCTATGGGCCACTGATGATTCAGATCACAATATGCACCTTGTATGATTGTTACCTACTTTTATATTCGATCAAATACCAAAAATGTAATTAAAATGATGATTTATAGAGAATTATTTTCTGCAAAAATGTCTTATGGAAAACAGTTTCTTCTGACCAAGTATACCAGAAAGGAAACAACAAACGAGAAGTGGGAATGAGATAAAGAAGATTTTTTTTTCCTTTAAAATGTTTCTTTTCCTTCATGTTTCACAAGGTTCCATTTTATCTATAGTTGTGACGTCATTAATATATAGAAAGTTATCGTTCAAATGCTTATAAAAGGTCACAAGTCACAAGTGAAGGTAAATTTTCAAGATACTTTAACGAAGTAATCTCAGATACTCGATATCATAAAATTGACATATTCGAAAATCAAGTGGCCAAATTTAGTTGGATTGAACACACACATAAGTAAACAACGGAATATCCAAGAATTCCTTTAATCACTTGTAGTACTAGTAGTAGGATGGGAGTATTGGGGCAACAGTAAAGTTGTCTTCATGTGAATAAGGGTGGCAATTAGAGCCCAAATCTATTTGACCCGTCCAAGGTTGGACTGGTTATTAACCCACCAATTTGTTGAATTCAGCACATCTTGACCCAATCCATTTCAACACATCAAAAGTTAGACTGATTTTTAGCCCAAATTAATCTATGAGTAATTTTGCTAAAATATTTCAATTTTTTTGATATGTTTATATGACCATAACAAAAGAAAAAAAAAACTTATTTGATTATTAAATAATTCATAAAAAATAGTACATATTAGTTAAAGTTCGGTAAATGTTGGACGGGTTGGGGTATGACTCAAATTTTAGCCCAACTTGACCCAACTCATCTCAACCCATGTAACTTTTATGCGGGTCAATTTATTGACGCAGCCTATTTTGACCCTCCAAAATCAGTCCAATTCGCACATTTGACATCTCTACGTGTGACCTATAGGTTTGAACCGTGAAAATAACCAATAATATTTGTATTAGAATAGGTTATTTATACCATGCCCGTTAAGATACGACTCTTTCCTATATCTTGCGTCTGTTACCCTTTGTACTTGTAGTACTAGTATAACATGTGTAGGAAGTAGAATTTGACCTATGACCCAAAGATAAAGTTATACTCTCAAGATTAAAGGTACACCCTATCTTGTAGGTTGGAATCTCGACACGTACACTAGTCGACAACAACAACTATTACCTTCAATCCCAAATAAATTGGATTGATTATAACTGATAATATTTTTTTATTTAAATTTATACTAAGCCTACACTATGCAGTTTAAAGATACAGAATAAACAGTACTAGAAATTCCCTTTGTCTGAAAAGTAAAAAAGAAATCATGTAATAACCAAAATTAAGGTGAAAAAAAAAAAGAGAAGACCAATGTAAAAAAGAAGCAATCCAAAGACAAAAATAGATTTAGAGTTTGAAATAATTAACTTTAGAGTAGCACTATAACATCCATTACTTCGAAATTTTTCATATGTATATATCTCGAATTGGAAAAAGTGAGTGCAATCACATTTGCTGTAATTATTTTGGTTGAAAAAGTTTTACGAAGAACCGAAAAAAAACGAAATTTGAATTTTTTTTAAAAAAAAGTAGATATTGTATCAGACATAAATACATGATATATCAGACGAAAATACATGATGTAAGGACTTATAACCAAAAAAAAGCTTACAATCATTCGTGTAGACAGTGCCTCATTCAAAGTAAGGATCTCCTGGTATTTTTTTCTCAAGCGTTGTGTACGTGTGTGAAGTTTCTTTCCGATTGCTGCAATTCCAACGTCCAAACATCTTCCTAACTTCTTCTAGGAAGTCGTATATTGGCAATTCTCTTGCTGATACAAGTGCTGAATTTATTGACTCAGCAATATTTGATGTCATAGTCCATCCCCGATTAACAAGTGCATACAACCTAGCATACTTTTTGTATCCAGCTAATTCCAGGTATTCTTTCACCCGAATATCTACCTTCTCTATCTTTTCCATTAGACTATCAAATTCATCATGAGTGTATGCTTTTGCCATCGAGAAGTATATCTCACTCAACTTTGCATGACTCTTTTTGAATTTCTTATATACGTTGTTCCATAGATGCCATATACAAGCAAAATGCAGTACATTTGGATACACTCTCAATACAGATTTAATGATACTCNAGGGTACCGTAGGATACACTCTCGATCCAAATTTGGTGATGCTCTCATTCCTATCTAAAACGATGCACATATTTTTCCGCTCACCATAAGCTACCTTGAATTGCTCAAAGATTCACAACCAAGCAGCATCATTCTCTGAATCAACAACACCATATGCTAGTGGCAATATATGTCTTGTAAATATAATTGAATACATACAAAAAACATTTCATTCAAGGTTTATTAAGAAGTCAAATTACAATATTATATGTTAATCCGTATATATTTTATTTTTTAACTGACTCACCTGCACCATCCAACGTGCTAGCCGAGACGAATGTCCATGTGTATGCCAATTTTAGGTGTCTGTCATCCACAACCACGATGGGTCTATAGTAATCGAACCCCTTTATAAAAGCATACAGCGATATATACAAATATATAAACTCATTTTTCAGTCATTTTACCATTCTAATATGCGAATCAGGATATGTCATATCCAGTGTATACAAGTACCCTGGTAATTTATTGTATGATTCAACTGGTTCACCTCTCAAAATATTCACTGCCTTTTCATTAGCGCGCCACGCCAACATGTAACTAACATCTACACCAAAGTCTGATTTCACATCATCAATTATATCCTTTGGCGTGTATTTCCTCTTATGATTAGTAAACTTGGACCTAATCATACCACCAATTAACCTACTAGTTGCTTGACGTTGCTCATACACCTTATCCTTCAACGGACATATATGCTTATCATTGAACTCCCTCACTTTGAACATTTGTGTTTTGTTAATACTAGAAGCCGTAAATCTCCATTCACAATCCTCTAAAATACATAACAATGTATAGCTACAAATACGTTGGTGTTATACATATGATTGGTTATGTATGGATATAAAATACAAACAGATCCTACAACTGATTTGGCTACATACACACATCATTTTCATTTGCCAACAAATTTTTGTACATAAAAACATACAACGAAATACAATGTATGTTTATTGAATATACTATAAAATTTTGTTGAATACATTGCGTAAAAAATTGTATAAACATACATTAATATAAATATTTAAGTTCTCATATAAATATTTCAGAACATTCAATTACAAAAAATACTGATACAGAAACATAGCATGAAGGAAAACATATATTATGAATACAACATTATACATGTAGTATTTTTTAAAATTCTACCATGAATACATTATACAACTAGCCAGAATACATATTCATATAGTTGAATACAACATATTGGTAAAGAGGCTGTAAGTAAGAACACTCAAACCTGGTAGTATTAGACCTATCAACCCGGAATTGAAACCTTTCAGCAATTGCATATTGCTCTATCACCGCCTTCAATATGGAATTATCCTTATATACTTATCCAGCCATGACCTCTCTTTGATTAGTTTTTGAAATAATCAAATCCCTTTCCGGTTCGAAAATCTCATATAATTTACTTTGAGCTCAAATCTATGGCAAGTTGCTTCGAAATTGAAGTAACCAAATCATTGTACGACGCATATTCCTTTATAAGTATCCCATCAATCGAATAATCGACATAGCTATTCTCAATGTTCCATTTGCCAGAATGACGCAGTAGCACAGTTAAACTTGCCATCTGGAAAATCAAATTTCAGTCTATTTCTGTAGGTACTTGTATGAATTCCTAGCAGAACCTCGAACAATATCAGCAGGATAAAATTTCCTTGAAATATACCATGAAAAAAAGGATGAACTGAATCTCTGAATATTGCTCTGATTTTTGGGTGTTTTTCGCCTGAGAAATCTTTTCATTAATTGAATTAATAATTTTGCGTATTATAATTGAGTTTGTTGAGTTATATTAGGAGTCTATCACGTTAATTGATTCACTTTCCGTTTTTAAACAACGGGAGAGACCTATTTTTACGCAAATGCCTTTCTGTATTCATGAATACAGCTCGCGAATACATATGAATATAGTGAATGATAGCTGACATGCCCTATTTTTTCGCCGAATTTTACTACTGTATTCATGAATACAATAACTTGAATACATCGATTACATTCTATAACAACTGAAAAGATAGCTATAGGAAGTAATTAAGTAAATGGTAGCTATAACAAGTTAATAACCACTAAACAATAGTAGTTTCTTAAAATTTCTCTTCTAAAATCAAGTGGCTAAATTTAGTTGGATTGAACCCACACACATAAGTAAACAACGGAATATCCAAGAATTCCTTTAATCACTTGTAGTACTAGTAGTATAATTGGAGCATTGGAGCAACCGTAAAGTTGTATTCGTGTGAATAGGGGTGCCAATTTGAGCCCAAATCTATTTGACCCGTCCAAGGTTGTGCTGGTTATTAATCCACCCATTTGTTGAACTCAGTCTATCTTGACCCAATCCATTTCAACACATCAAAAATTAGACTGATTTTTAGCCCAAATTAATCTATGAGTAACTTTGCTAAAATATCTCAATTTTTTTTAATATGTTATATATGACCATAACAAAAGAAAAAAAATTCTTATTTGATTATTAAATAATTCATAAAAAATAGTACATATTAGTTAAAGTTCGGTAAGAGTTGGACGGGTTTGGGTATGACCCAAATTTTAGCCCAACTTGACCCAACTCATCTCAACCCATGTTACTTTTGTGCGGGTCAATTTATTGACTCAGCCCATTTTGACCCCCCAAAATCAGTCCAACTCGCCCATTTAACATCTCTACGTGTGATCTATAGATTTGAGCCGTGAAAGCAATCACTAATATTTGTATTTGGGTAAATTGTTTATATCTTGCCCATTAATATACGACTCTTTCCTGTATCTTGCGTCTGCAACCCTTTTTACTTGTAGTTCTAGTATAACATGTGTAGGAAGTAGAATTTGACCTATGACCCAAAGATAAAGTTAACTCTCAAGTTTAAAGGTACACCCTATAAGGGGTTTGTAGGTTGGAATCTCGACACGTACACTAGTCGACAACAACAACTTTATCTTCGATCCCAAATAAATTGGATTGATTATAACTGATAATAATTTTTTATTTAAATTTATACTAAGCCTACACTATGCAGTTTAAAGATACACAATAAACAGTACTAGAAATTCCCTTTGTCTGAAAAGTAAAAAAGAAATCATGTAATAACCAAAATTAAGGTGAAAAAAAAAAGAAGAGAAGACCAATGTAGAAAAGAAGCAATTCAAAGACCAAAATAGATTTAGAGTTTGAAGTAATTAACTTTAGAGTAGCACTATAACATCCATTACTACGAAATTTTACATATGTATATATCTCGAATTGGAAAAAGTGAGTGCAATCACATTTGCTGTAATTATTTTGGTTGAAAAAGTTTTACGAAGAACCGAAAAAAAAAACGAAATTTGAATTTCTTTTTAAAAACAACGCCATTAACTTAGTAAAGCAATATGTTCAATTTGCAATGATTTCAACTTCCAAAGTTTGCGGATCAAATAAACAAAGTTCCAACCAAAATTAAGTGGAATAAAAGTCAAATATCCAACTTTGGAAAAGCCTAAGATCGATAAGCTTTATTATATATACCACAAGTTTCTAAAACATGATTGATTACCTATTATAGGAGAACAGCAAGTACATCGATTTTGTGTTCTTTAAGCTTTTATAAGTATCCTACTCAAAGAAATAAATGAGCTTTTTTCTTTCAATAAAGTAGTGTGTTGGGAAGCTTTATTCCAATGGTAAGTTGGTAACATCACAATAAAAAAGTGATATTATTACAACAACAAGGAAGCATAGTAAAACATGAATTGGCACATCTAAACTACTATTTCTCCTACTAGCAACTATAATTGGTTGAGGTTGAATTTGTACGTTGAGTGTCATGGCATTAGATAATAATTAATTTTCACCACCAAAAATTATGGTGGAATGAATATGATTCATTTTCTCTTAATTAGAAATCTTGGATTGAGCCTAGTAATGGAAAAAATTCTTGGTAGCGAGCAATTTTACCCCTTTAACAGTTCCTATGCAGCACGAATTCGAATTAGTCGGAGTTCAAATGCGGACACCAAATGGAAAGTAAAAAAAAAAAAATTAAAAAATTTAAATCTCACACCATCTCATCTTTCTCTTTTGAATTTTATCATTTTCCATTTTTGAAATTCTTTCCTTCCACGCATGAGCTATTTACACTTGAGAAAGTTTCAGAAACCACTATTGTTTAGTGGCTATTAACTTTTTATAACTACCATATACATAATTACTTCCTATAGCTACTATTCAGTTGTTATGGTAGTGTATTCACAAAAAGCGACTAAAATCAAGGCAGTCCAGTTGTACGCGCATGTATTCACATGTATTCGCACCATGTATTCATGAATACAACAATAAAAAGTGCCTAAAATCAGGGTAATCCAGCTGTACGCGCATGTATTCACATGTATTCGCGCTGTTATATTCATGAATACAACAGTAAAAAGCGCCTAAAATCAGGGCAGTCCAGCTGTACGCGTATGTATTCACATGTATTCGCCACATGGATTCATGAATACAACAGCAAAAAGCGCCTAAAATCAGGACAATCCAACTGTACACACATGTATTCACATGTATTCGCGCTGCTGTATTCATGAATACAGCTGTACGCGCATGTATTCGCATGTAGTCGCGCCATGTATTCATGAACACATTAACGGCAATCCCTTAAAAATAGGTATGTCCAGCTATCTAAGAGAGAGAAAAAACATAAATAGTGTATTTCATGTCTCAATGATAGTAAATACCATAAATTACTTATTTTGCTATAAAATATAAAAGTTAGCTATAAAAAATAATATTTGAAAATAATTTTAATTTATAATAAATAAGGTGTATACCTTTACTATAAGAGGTAAAATTTCCTTTACACTTCACATGCATAAGCCCAACATCCTGCTTATGTATGACGAGGCCCATGTGATGGGTTGGGGATGACCAGGGTCCAAGGCAAAATTGACTATAATGCTTGCTTGATGAGCTCGGTTAAAAAATGAATTTTTGCCTTTACTATTAGCTGTGCATGAAAAGTGCTGGGAGTGTAACGCCAGCAGCATCCTGCCTATGATGAGGCCTAAGTGATGTAGGGGCTTATCTAGGTCTTAAAATATGGGTTCACCTGAACTTAGGTTTCTCTTTCTAAATCACATATTATGTTATATTTCTTCAAATTTACTTAAATATATGTGCGTGCACTTATGTTCAAAGACTCCTATGGTACAGTAATTATTGAGTTTACCTCTACAAGTAAAACTGACTCTTCAAATCCCACTTTAAATGGTTTTGTTTTTGACATAGAGTATAGATATATATGTCAAAATCAGTAAAATTTTAAAAAGAATATAATTTGGACCTTTAATATTAAAAATGTAATGGATTTAGAGTAAGAGACTAAATTTAAAACTGTCAACTGTAAATTCTAGATTCGTCTCTTCGCAATAATTAACCCATTCTTTTGAAATTTTGAATCTGCCTTTGCATCGATCGGGGAATCTAGGTCGGAGTCATGATCGAATATGACGCTTGCTTGACAGGTTCAATTAAGAAATAAAGTTATGTCTTTATTATCAACTATAATTTTGACATGATGGTAAGCATTTTGATACAAACATAACGTTCCATCTGATAAAACTTCTCTTAAATGCTTGAATTCTTTTCTTTACTTATTATATTACTAGTATTACTCCATATTATTTATTTGGTCGCGGAGATATTCCTTATTTATGCGGGGACTCGTGAAACGCAGATAGCCACAACAAAAATGCACCTACAAAGGAGTACAAGAAAATCAAACATGTAGGAATATTATAATGCATGAGACTACTGTGTTGCTGTAGACCCCACATGTTCCATTTGGAACATTCAAAAGGAAGTAAAATTGGAGTTCGGAATCAAAATGTTGTCCACAAAAATAAGTGAAAAAAACATATGAGTACCATTTTACATATAATGTGGTTAATCACCGCGCTATATTTTAACGGTACGTTTATCCGTTAAAGTATAACACGGTCAATACATGCGCTATATATAAACTTTACTATCCCACCAATAATTTATCTAACTTTACTGATCCACCTATAATTGAGGGTATAGCGCATTCATAATAGGCGCTACATATATAGCGCCTATTATGCATGCGCTATACCTTCAATTATTGTACCCCGGCACTAGTTTTTCTCTTATATAAGGAGTTTCAGCATTTGGTAAAAATCCATTCAGGATCCTTCAGGTCTTCCGAAATATTTGGTCGTTAACTTATTTTGCATGTTGTCATAATGTCCGAAGAGCGAAAAATTAGGGTTTCATCATATTGGGGGGAGGTGAGGTTGTGGTGAAAATAAATCAGTACAATATAGTTGTTCTCCACAGTGTCATGTTAAGTTGCCACTTACAATGGAGTACGATAGATTAATATCGTTATTATGTAAAAAAATAGGTGTGAGAAAATATTCGGTTAATATTAAAGTAACAGGAAGATATCTGTATTCTGTTACTCCGCAAGGGGTTGCTTGTTATGCTGAGTTTAACATCGAAGACGATGAAACTCTGACAGATTTTTTGAGGACTTCGGAAGAACACCGGGAACTTTTTGTGATAAAAATATTGGA